CCCAGCTGGGCGCGAGGGGCAGCGCCGGGAGCCGAGCGCGGGCCGCTGTGGCCGCCTCATTTGGCAGGAAGAAATAAAAGGCCATAAGAGTGGCCCTGCCATAACGTGTGACCCGGGGTGTTCGTATTTGGGGGACTCGTGGGGCTCTGCCCCGCTCCTTTCCCTTCTGATCATTCCACGTGCACCAGCCAAAACTCCTCTACCGGCAGGTCTGCACTGTAAGCTTCTTTTGGAAAAAGCTATTGGGGACATCTTCCGGAATAGCTACTTTTGGAACAGTGTGACCACGCTTCCAATTAGTCCAAGGCAGGCTCCACTAATGTAGGCGCACTACCCTGATTCAGAGCCCCAGGAGGCACTGAGGCGGAATAGCTTAGAATGGCCCTGGTAAGGAGCTATTTGACATATCAGCATTGGAACGTCCACACCCACACCCTCTTCCAACAGAGCCTTTTGGTCAGAAAAAGCCCTCCATTATTTTGATTTTCTTTCGAAATAACACAATTGCTGTGTGGATGCTAATATATATTTTTGGGAATAACAGCCGCTATTCTAGAATAAAGGTGCAGTCTAGACGCATCCTAAGCTAAGAAAACAGGCTGCTAGTGTGGGCCCTAGATGAATGAATGGGTGGCGAATGGGAGGTTTTGAGGATTGGATTGTTTGCTTGTGGCTACATCAGTTTCCTTTCTTACTGACAACAGCAAATGATATCCTCTCCTAAAGGGGAAAACTCCACTACTTGCCACCAGTATTGCAGTCACTTTTGGCCTAGTCTTCGTATCTACAAGAGGGAGTTTTTTGGACTCTTCTACGGGTGTTTGTTTTCGATATTACATAAAACAAACATTTACCTTTTAGTTCAGTGGATGTTCCAGTTGTCCTTTAAGGCTTCATGGATTATCTTTCCATAGATAATAGTAGACATTTTTTATTGAGAGTAATGGATAGAATGGGAGTGACAATTCTGACTGAATTAAAGGGAAGGCCTTTTTAAATGGCACTAAAACCTTTACATATGGGAGTGGTGGAATGGACCAAGTGGCAATAAAGGACTCCAGATTGTCTCTGTGATGATAACATTATAAACAATGTAAATTTGTTGCCTTTATTAAAATATAGTAGTGAAGATCTGCAGTAGAAAGAAATGTAATTAAGGTAGTAAAGCTATGGGCCCAATTCTACAAATAGTTAACTATATGAATAAATGTATTTATATATTTAAGCGTTGAAAGGATCAAGTTTTAAGACTCAGTCCTGCACTATTTTAAAGTCGATGAGAGTTATGTAGGGAACTCTATTGGGGCTAGGATAGAAACCAGAGCTTTTTATATAGGTATAAACTACAAAATCTTATATGTTCAACATCTGTGTGGGTTTTTTGGGGGTGGCGGGTTGAGTGGTAACAATATTCATAAAGTAAAATGTTACAATTTTTCTACGGAGGTCTTAAAGCCGCAATGCTACAACCTGACCTGTATGAGCAACCCGTTGTCCCCAAATAGACCAGTGTGCAGAATTTGGACAGAAGAAATCTAAATATCAACTGCAGTACAATGGATTTTACATTTTAGCTTTTAGAATGTCAACTTGATTATACTACCATTTCTTTTTAACAAAATTTGGAATTCTAAGCAAACACTGAGCAGCCTTTACGTTAATTTCTTCAAACACAGTAATTATTAGTGTGTTATGGTCCAATCCTGTTCCCAGGGATGTCAGTTGTAAAATTCCATTTACTTTGGTGGTAGCAGGGTCTGTCCCTTTTTGTCCAAGTACTAAAATCCTGAATTGTGAAAACTGTCAAAAAATCACTATTATTTTTGCTGTGTTTAGTTCATGTCTTAGCCACCGCCTTTTACATGATGTAGAATAAGTAAGGATGCTTATGATATGTTACTAACAGTTGAGTATACTCAAAAAAAGAATTAAGGTCCTCTCACTGGAGACGGTTCTTGGAAGGAGACTCATATTGAAATGGAAATGCACACCTTTCTTTATTCCCATTTATGTCCATGCATCAAATATATATAGGCTTTGAATCACACAACTGAAACCAATCATGTCAGTTATTACTATCCAGGAACTGTATGTGTCTCATACAGTGCTGTGGTGCTCTTTTAATCAGTTGGGCAGCACAGATGATCTGTGTTCTGTGATTTTTATCTATGTCTGTTTTCCTGTAAGATCTGCATTTTGTTTTGTACCATATGAAAAAATATTGGGTATTGTTTTATTGACTGGCCACTTGGGCTAGTGAAGAGGCCATCTGTCTAATATTGACTTTTCAAGATAAATGAAAATATTCTTTCTTAAACCTTTCCATATATACAATTGGTTGTAGATACTCCCTTGGCTGACCGTGATAACAGGGAATTAAACTGGAACAATAGAATGCCTGTGAGCCATTCTTTTCCATTAAGCATGTAGATTGCATTTTAGAAGCCAAAATTGACTTTGCATATTATTTTCCATATTTCTCTTTTCCATGTTGATCTAAGTTTAACAGAGATGTAGAGGATTAAAGTCTTGTGATCCCAATATTCCAGTACTGATGAAAGGAAGGGTCTTGCTATATAAAAGAAGTCTCATTTAGGATATGTACTCTTATGCATCCTTCCCATCTATGTCAACACTTGCATAGTGCATATGTCCTGATAAAACAGTCTGATCAAATTGTAATTGGCACAGTGCCACCTTAACAGATGGGCATGAGTATGTGCAGCCAAGAGAACATGTTAGCTGTGTCTGTTAGGGCAAGATCTGTTGCCTAGATTATCTAAATTGCTGTCTATCCTGATTTTTACATGCGGGTTGTTAGGGGATGTGTCACTGCTACATCATTCCTAGACTGGATTAATTTCCCCCCAAAAAACCCACAATAGCTGCAGCCAGATATGGAGATAATGGGCTCATTTAAATCACAGAAGAGGTGGCGGGAATGCAGAAAAGGGTCTTGTAATTCTGTCAGGGAGAGTTGTCATCAATGTTCCCTCTATTTTCTTCCATTCATGAGTGGAATAAATGTTTTATGTGCACCGACGCATGTGTGGATGTGCACCACCAGTAGAAACACATGCTGCTGGCTATGATGCTCTTTTAATCAGTTGGGCAGTGCCTAAATCTCTAGTGGGTGACTCCCCAAGCTCTCAGTTTACAGGGAACACTGGTTGCCATTCAGACATAAGAACATAAGAATGGCCATACTGGGTCAGACCAAAGGTCCATCTAGTCCAGTATCCTGTCTGCTGACAGTGGCCAGTGCCAGGTGCCCAAGAGGGGGTGTACCGAAGACAATGATCAAGCAATTTGTCTCCTGCCATCCTTCTCCAGCCTTTGACAAACAGAGGCCAGGGACACCATTCCTTATCGCCTGGCTAATAGCCTTTTATGGACATAACCTCCATTCATGTATCTAGCTCTTTTTTAAACTCTGTTATAGTCCTAGCCTTCACAGTCTCCTCTGGCAAGGAGTTCCACAGGTTGACTGCATGCTGTGTGAAGAAGAACTTTCTTTTATTAGTTTTAAACCTGCTACCCATTAATTTCATTTGGTGTCCTCCAGTTCTTCTATTAAGGGAACAAGTAAATAACTTTTCTTTATTCACCCTCTCCACACCACTCATGATTTTATAGACCTCTATCATATCCCCCCTCAGTCTCCTCTTTTGTAAACTGAGGACCAGTTCCAAACCCCTAATCATTTTAGTTGCCCTTTTCTGAACCCTTTCCAAGGCCAAAATATCTTTGGGGGGTGAGGAAACCACATCTGTACACAAAAAATGGCATTCCCGATATGCAAGTTGTAACTGACATGTCAGTTGCTGCAAGTGACA